TGTTTCTGTTTGGAGAAAAATGACGTGTTGCAACCGTCCCTTGTTGTTACTGTCCCCGGTCTCCCCTATTTTTTKGTTTTGTCTGTCTGCAGTAAGCCAGCAGAGAGCGAGGAACAATCGGTGTTTGTACCAAACGATGGCAGCGCTGGAAGCTTCAGGCTGCAGGATGGTGTCCTCTTCCACATGTACGTCAGCTCGTCACCCTGTGGAGACGCTCGACTCAACTGCCCCTACGAGACCACAGCTGCACGTGAGACACACATCAGGAGATATTAAAAATAGAGCATAAAGTCATTTTCAAGCCCACAGTTACGCCCATTATAATACCTTTGTTGACATTAAGTGGTTATAACGTCTTTAAAGTGGTTTATATGTTTATCAGATCCCAGCAGAAGGTTCTGCTCTCACCTCAGAGTGAAAGTGAGCGGTGGAGAGGGCACGCTGCCCGTCACAGCACAGACAGCCAATCAGGAATGGGATGATGAGTCGCAGGGTAAACCTGTCACCAGCATGTCCTGCACTGATAAAATAGCTAAGTGAGTTTGAGAAATAATCCCCTTCTTATATTTAAAAAATATAACTAAAGCAATCATAATTTTTTTGAGTTATGCATTTTAGGATTTCAAAGAAAGTTCCTGATTTCTTAGCTCATTACTCTAAAAAGTGATAAAAGTGAAAAAAAAATCGAGCACTGTTCCTATTTTGAAAGTCTCAGCTGAAGGCATTTCTGCTCATTTAGTTCATAATGAACAGTTTGTCYTGACAGGTGGAGTGTTGTGGGCCTCCAGGGGGCTCTGCTGTCTCACCTGGTGGAGCCGGTTTACCTGAGCAGCCTGACGGTGGGAACGCTGAGCCACACGGGTCACCTGGGCAGAGTCATGGCACGCCGCCTGGCGCCCGTCAAACGCCTGTCCCTGCCCTACCGGCGACAGCAGCTGCTGCTTGGCTGTAGGTCCACACGACAGTCTGGAAGGATTATTTAGACGCAAACTATGTGTMCAAATCGATTTATCTGTTTTATGAGAACATATGATGGTAATATATAAGTGCTAAAGCACCAAAGTTTTTCTAATCCTCCCTGCAGGTCTGAGCAGCCGGGAGGTTCAGCCTGCAGGGAAGTCCTCCAATACGAGCCTGAACTGGAGCTCCGGTGATGGAGGCCTGGAGGAGGTCAGCACCTCCACAGGGAGGAGACAGGATTCAGGGACTCCGTCACGGCTCTGCAGACGCTCCCTGTTCACCTGCTGGCTGAGGCTGCAGGAGAAGGTAAGACTCAAACAGGTGAGAAGATGAACTTACAGGTTTAGCTGAGAAATTATTAGAAACAYATATTTACACTGATGATCTCTGGCTGGTTATTAAATAAATGGTTACACATG